GTGTGTGTGTGTGTGTGTGTGTGTGTGTGTGTGTGTGTGTGTGTGTGTGTTAATAGACTAATAAATACTATTGAAGAGGTTAAAAATGGTCCTTCTTCTGTTGTGACACCAACTGTTAAACATAGAAGCTTGATGGTATCTAAACTTGTGTAAAGCAAACGGCTAACCCAAAGGTCTAACATTGTATTTTTCAGTCAATTCAATTTTCCTGCAGACTCCTGGTGGAGCATAGGGCCGCAACAACATCACGCCAATGGACTGTGTTCTGGGCCGTTCTCTTCAGCTGGGTCCACGTCATTCCGGCGGCCTTCACTTCACTCTCGACAGATCTTCTCCAGTATTTTTCAGTGACACAACCTAATTAGCCAGGCGTTCATTATACTGCAAGACGAAGACCCCCCAAAAAACAGAAGCAAGAACTCCACTCCATGCAGCTACCTCAGTGTAGACTGGACTGAAGGCTGGAAGCAAAATAAAAGTCAAGTAGAAGAACTTGTGAGCTGTTGTGCCTGAAAAAGGCGGTTTCTTACATTTTTGCTAAACAAAGCAATTCTGTGATGTTTTAATTTTATTTGCCCTGACTATACAATTACCCTGCATGATTTTCAATAAAATCTGGAAAAATGTAAATGTACTGAAAGTTTTACTCTCGTGTAAAGAATATTTTTTAGTCTTATAGAGGAAGGACAAATTTCAATCACAAGCCTTTAGCTGCACCTGAAATCCCCAAATCTGTGTTTGCCTGCGCGGTGGGACACCTCTGGGCACGAGCATGTGTGTGATGGACGAGCGGGAGAGCGACACGGGCTCAGAGACTGTTTCTTTCACCTCCATGCCAAAGCCCCGAGCTGCATGTGTCATGTAGAACAGAAAACACATGTGACCTATTTACAGGTTTCCTCAAGTGTGCGTATCTACATGTGCTCACCTCTCTCACCTCTCTCAGTGTAAGGGACCATCCCCTGTGAACGCATGTGTGTGTGGGTTTGTTTTGTTTTTTTCTCACAGGAAATGGGTTTTTGGTGAAAAAGAGACAGGGAGGAAGCACTCTGAAGAAAGCTTCTTTTCGTTTCTTTCCTTCTCCTCTTTCCACAAGACAGACCACGTTTCACATGTGCATGTTCAGGAAATAAAGGCTTTGACTGTAACTTAACAAGCATGCAGATGCACGTAATTACAACTTTGATGTAGTGGAAATGAATGTGAACCATACATCTTGTATCAGATAATCTGATATGCAGTGGGAATACATAAATCGGAAATAGGCTACAGTTTAATAAATGTCCCTTCAGGACTCTTTGGGGGTAATTTGAGACCTATGATGCACTTGGATGCTCATGTGCCTTTTTTTTAATGGCGTTTCTTTGACTTATAATACAGATTCAGTTTCATTTGTCAGTATACAAACTAGCCCTTACATACAAAGGTTACAGATCTATGTGAACCATGCAGTGACCTTTCGAGCAGTAGCAATGAGCAGATAAAAGCTACCTCCTTCTCCTCCCTGAGTGAAATGCTGAGCTGACGTGTTTGGATGGTGTCAGAAGGAGTTTGAAACTACAGATCACAGCGCTCACACACACTGCTGCTCGGGCCCGTTTGACTCCTGAACCCTGAGGGACAGCTTTACCATGGCTCCTCCATATTTAATTATTATGTTGAATTATTCTGGCTCACTGCCGTGTTGTGCCACCGTGAATTGGGCCGTGGAGTCTGTGAGTGTATTTTTCAGTGTGCGTGTGTGTGTTTGTGTGTGTGTAGGACAGGGAGAGTGATGTGGCAATAGTGCCTGAGTTTGCCACGAGAACTGGAAGCCTTATGGAAAGTAAAGCCATAGCAACAGAATGAATTAATGAAAAGGACACGAATGCTAGGTTTAACACACACACACACCGACTCACACACTCACAAGGCCATGCCAGCTGGTGGTTACATATTCAATGCAGATAAACCTCCTGATGCACGTAGGACCAAAACTTCTTCTACAGTACAAAAACATCCAGCCTGCAGCTGTCAGTAATGGTCTCTCAGCATCAGTGAAACCAGAGAAAATACACTTTTTAATGATCCACATGGTTTAAACTGGTGTCTCCAGCTATTTATCTCATCTACTTCTTTCAATATAAATCTACTCAACATGATAAAGTATAGCTGTAGCTGTAGAAGAACATATAGAAATATATATCATTAAAAATGTTTCGCCCGGGCTAAATAAATCACTACTTAGGCATAAAATGTGCTTGTCCCTCCCTGAGCGAGAACAACTTTGTGAGTTCGTACCTACTGAGCCAGTGGCGCTCAGAAAGTAGTCTGCAGCGCCCCCTTCAGGAGAAGAAAATAACACACCTGGGCAAAATTCACAGGAGGGGCAATTAGGACAGATTTCGGATCTAGTGATCATGTAGATGTACATATTCGTATTAGTGGTTTGGTCAACATTAAAAGTTATTGCAAGCTGTGTTTTTTGTAATTAAATTTTCTCTGGTTTCTATATGAGCTTTATTCACAAAGACAATTGCCCCGAAATGTAAAGAGACATTCAGGCAGAAAGAAGGAATGCAAGCATATTTAATTTCTGAAATGATTTCAAAGGTTTGCCTTGTGGCATTTCTGCCACTGTTTACACAGTGACTGCCTGTATTTATAGATTTTATAGTCTGCAGAATGACACATTTAATAAAATAAATAAATAAAACCAAAAACAACCTTTTGGCAGTCGGGTGTAAGACCCAAACTTAAAAAGCCAACTTTCATCGACTCAAACTTAATTTTCAAGCAGTTGCTAAATGTACAGCAAGCATATGCAATTAAAACTGAGTAAAGGATGAGCTTAAATGTAATTTTTAGCAAAAAGAACATGAAATAGGATTATTGAATTACAGCCAAAGCCTCAGTCGGATAAATTACAAGTAGCTGGAATTTGTTTAAGCGTTTAGTGGACTGCCAATCACAGTGAAACTTAACACTTAACATTTCAATTTCTGTTTTAATATCCTTGTTTTTATCCATCTAAAAGCACCATCAAGGCTTTAATTTTAGTCGAAACAAACACTAGTAAATGCCTTTTGTGAAAACGCACGGCTTTCAGTAGTCTGGTAATGGATACAGAAGGTTAAAAGTGAGAAAACTTCACTTGTCACTAACAACGTGGCAGAGAATATTTGTCCCCTCATTCAGTGTACAAAAAGCCTCGTTCAACTTCAAATGACTTGAAAAACAAAAGATTTTTTTTTTTAGTCAAACAAAGTAAGGTTAAATTTAAAAAACACACACATTAATTTTTACTTTTTTTTTTTTAATTGTACAATAATACAATCACATTTTGTACAAATGCTGATAACAAAAAAAAATAAAATTGTAATTCAGGCTACGGGGAGAAATGTTGGTGGGGGGCCTGAAAACAACGATGTCCTTGGGCACTGCATTTAATTCATACAGCATTGGAGTGAACACAGGCTACTCCTGCTGCTTGAAAGGGACAGCGACACCGCTTCTCTCCATTCACCCCATCATGTGTGACACATGCACACAGTGATGGGAAGGAGCAACAAGGTGGTCACCAGAGTCAGACGCAGATGAAGATCGTGTACAGAAAAATCCAATTTGTGTGTTTGTAGTGACAGCAGAGAAAAGGAGGTGGGGAGGGTATGGTGGTTCATTTGTTGTTTGGTCCAGGTCCAAAGAGTTAAGAAACTGAGGCGCAGGGTCAAAGGTCATTCGGCCAGGGTTGTTTAAGAGCGGGTGTACTTCCCCCAGATGTGAAGCATGAAGACTGACGCGATGAAAAGCAGGCTCATCACCAGCACGGGCACCGGACCGCTGTCACACAACAATGAGACGATGATTAATAACCAGATTCTCTCTCACACACACACACACACACACACACACACACACACACACACACACACACACACACACACAGCTGTAACCCTAACCAGAGTGCGAGTCTTAGCGGAGAGGCTGATTTTATTGATGAGTTTTAGAAACAAGGAAGGGGCTCTCATCTCTGAAGGAGGCTCTGAGTGGGGGGTGGGGGTGGAGGAGCGCATGGCTAAATAGAAGCATTGCCATGCCAACCCTCTCCTCATCAGCCCTCCCTCTCCTCATCGGCCCTCCCTTTCCTCCCCCCTCTGTCAGAAGGCTGTAATTGAGTTGACCTTTCAGAGTGGATCCTTTAATGAAGCTTTGAGGCCGGCGTCTAACACAGGAACAAACATGCACTCGATATACAGCACTGTATACGGCGAGCGTGCCCTCCTTCGACTGCTGGAGAGACGCACTCAATAACCACCACAGCACCATTGATCAACCAATGACTGGCTATGGCCAGGAGGCAGGACGCCTCCTCTGCTGTTGGAGGGGGTTAGGCATTGAGGATGGAGCAGAATATAAGTTTGAGAGTTTTCTAAATGTGTACTTTACTCACATAATTACGTGTGTATATACACTCACACTCTTATTAGGCTGAATACATCAACTGCTTTACTGCCGAGTCACGTCTGGCCAATTTCCCACCATTAAACATGGTGAGTGTCGGAAATCCTGAGGATTAGTTTTGGAGTTGCGAGTGTACGAAAGTCAAAATGTCAAACGCTGGATTGGTTTGTGGCTATAAAACTTTTATAAACTATACTTACACTTTGAGTCCCGGTGAGTCTTCAGTGTAGAAGCGCCACATGCCGCCTGTGCCAGCAGATCCCGTGGTCCTGCCACCGCTGCGTGTACCACTGCTGGTAGCTTTCCTGTGCAACACAGATGCAAAACGATTTTTTATTTTACCAACAATCAGCTATTTCTTAAAAAAATTAAAAAATGTCATCACATTACAACACTTTTCCAGAATGGAAAAGAAACCAGATTTTAAAAAACAAGCACAACACAATTTCTGTCAATCATACTGTTGGCAAAGTTCATCAGACTTTAACTTTATTCAACTGTATAAACCAAATCAAAACCTTCTTTTAGGCTGCCATATATAAATCACCAAAAGAGGGGAAAAAAAAAATCAAAAACAACAGTGCGATCTATTATACACTACGGCTTATTATGAATTTAATTTCAGCTACAGCAGCTGTTGATGAAAGAGCACTCTGAGTCATTGCTCCTTCATTCTTTGGATGAGATTAAACAGAGGTTAATGAGGTAATGAAGATGGTGGTAGTAATGGGTAATAATGAGACTGAGAGGAAGCAGTGAGTCTCTGATTACACACTGATTAAGCCAACAGCATAACATCTATCTGCTCTAATCTATGGGAAGGAGCACGCACGTACACACACGTGGACACACACGTGCACACAGACACGCGCACAAATTATCAACACCTATTCACAGGATGACGACATTAATAGATGGGTCACTACTGAGTGAGTGAGTGAGTGTGTGAGTGTGTGTGTGTGTGTGTGGGGGGGGGGGTAATTGCAAGCTTTGTAAGGTGTTTGTGCAGCACAGTTATCTTTCTTACAAAAGATATTCTCTCACTGGATGGTGGAAGAAAATCTGGTGTTAAACTGGGTGTAGAGACAATGAAGGCTGCATTATCTATCAATTCCTCAGGACACCCTCTGTGCCCTTTTGTCATCAGCTTAAAATGCTGATGACATAAAGTGTGTGTATGCATACCTCTGTCTGACTGTGGAGCCTGCTGCACGGGGAGCCACTGTCTTGCTGGGGGATCTGCTAGAGGCTCCAACATTGGTGGCACTTGCTGCTGGTCCAGGCTAGAAAATAAACAGCACGTTTAAAATATATGACAACGTTACAGCGCATTCAGTCACAAACCTTCATATCTGTTACATTTTCACACCTAAAACTAACCTACAGCACTCTGTCGTGAGATTCAATAAATGCTTCGCGTATAAATAACTTATATTTGGCTTTAAAGTGTATATTACGTCTATATCAGATTACAAAGACTCTGACTGGGTACTTATACGGTTACTACCAAGCATCAAGTACCAAATCTCCTTCTAAAGCAGTCACATATATTTAACATTTACTTAATTAAGTACTACAATAGCCTGAAACTTTGTCTTGAGACCCTTTAATTCGTGAGGATTAAAAGAGCCACGTCTACAATTGATGAGCTAACGTTAGCATACTAGCTAACAGCTGAGTGCTGAATGAATGCGGTGGACAAGGCTAGCGTGACCAGTAGTAGCCGTTCCAGTCAGATCTGAGGAGCTTACCATTTTGTTTTATTTGTCCAGATGCGAGCTAAAACGCTTTGGAGCTCTTCAAGCTGATGTACACGTCGGAGGAGCGGCACACAGTCAGTGTGTGAAAAACTTGAGAAGAGAGCCCACAAAGCTGACGCTTGTCTAAAAAGGACACGACTGCAAAACACAAGACCAAAGTAGGCGACCAGATAGAAGCCTGAGTAACTGACCGCATTTAGTACAAAAAACACACTCAACAGAACATCATTTCAAGTGTTTATGCATTTTTGAGTTATTAAGTAATAATTATAAAAATATTTATTTGTAATGTTTTGAATTCGTTTATAAATATGTACATTAAATCAAAGGCAAATAATTGATTACCCTCGGTTCTGAAAGAGACGTGTCTGTCACGTCGGAGGAAACGCTAGCCATTGTGGCTCAAGCACAAAGCGGGGTGAGTGTAGTCGTAACGTTTGATTTGAGCCAAGATGGCGTCTAAACGGTAACTTTGTCGGACGGTTGATCGGTATTACAGACAGCTGAACGGGCATAATCACAGGTTGGTACATTTGGACAGGTTAGTGCGGAGACCCGAGCCTAAATTATTTTACCTAAAGATGTGGTTGTGTTTCGTTACAAATTCCGCGGTTGACGGATAACACATTATAATAATAACTGAACAAACGTCTAAAACGGCTTATAATCGTACTAACTGTCATCTAAAGCAAAAAAAAAGGTATCTGAATCAGGAATAACCTGTTATTAGCTCGACTTTTTCTCTCCACTATATTGTGAACTAGCTGTTTGTCCTCAAATAGGTGACGGAGGCTGTGACAGTCAGACAGGGTGGTTGCCAGCAGCTGTGGGTGTATTTCCTTGCTGTCAACAGTTCTGAAGTACCTTCAGGGATAAAAGTTATAAATTAAGTGATGGTACAAACCACAAGGACAGATTCTTCAAGTTGGCAACAATGCAGGCCTGAAATCTTTCAAAGATTAGATGCATGAATCCCGGGTACCTTTTGCTGGAGAAAACTGTTTGTTGTTTTCATCAGCATCAAGTTTTGGATTGTTTGAATGCCACAGAAAATGTATTTTTTCTTTAATCTGTCTTTAATCTGTGCCCGAGGTTAACACTGACTTCTTTTTAACCTTAAAGCTGCTCATCTAAACTTTGTACTTCTGATTTGGGAAAATTAGCTATTTGCCCTTATTCATCTCAGTTTTAACTGGATTCCTTCTTGTCTATAGGATGGCACGGGTAGTTTTCCTCCATCCTGACCTTGGTATTGGGGGAGCGGAGCGGCTGGTGGTCGATGCTGCCGTTGCTCTGAAGTCTCAGGGATGTAGCGTTCAGATCTGGACGGCCCATTATGACCCAACACATTGCTTCTCTGAGACCCTCGATGAGGAACTTCCTGTGGTGTGTTAGAGTGCACTATGCTACTAAAGAAAATTATATCACTGGTAAACACAAACATTTTGTCACTGCTCCTGTTATTATTGTTCTAATAGGTGTGTGTGGGTGACTGGCTACCCACCAGTGTGTTTGGCTACCTGCATGCCCTGTGCGCCTACCTGAGGATGATCTATGTGGCCCTCTACCTGGTCTTCCTTAGCGGTGTGGAATATGATGTCATCTTCTGTGATCAGGTGAATTGTATTGCACAATAAGTGCCAGAGACATTTTAAGAGAGAGGATATAAAAAGGCTTTTAAAAACCCCGTTTGGAGGCAAAGGCAGCATGAATGACTGTCATGTATTTTTTCAGTTCTTCTGAGAAAACTGTGTCTCATAACTTACTGTAACTTCTCTGTCACTTAGCTGTTTTTTCAATGAAAAACAGTGAGTGGGTGCTTCCCAGTTGAGCATCTCAAGAAGAAGGAGCAGATTTATTTATTTATTTTTAAACATTTGGTACATTAGCTTTAGGATATTTATGAATCCGCACATTTTACTGTTAAAATGGGGTGGAAACTTTGAGGGCTGGCAGAATATATTTAAGCTCTGTCTTGATAAAACACATGTCTTCATTAAATAAGCTACAGTTGGAATTAAAAACCTGCTGGTTCCAAGTGGGTCCAGTGGGATTTGTTTTCCAGATTTGGTGAATTTTATATTGATTGATCCTTGTGCAGTGTTTTAAACCCTACAATACCATTTAAAAACAATCAGCTGTTTTATGACTTGCACTTCTGTTAAATGGGCACATGCCACATTTTCTGTATTTAGATCTTATCATTGTTCCCTTTGACCCCAGGTGTCGGTGTGTATCCCAGTGTTACGACTGGGTCGCCGCAGGAAGAAGGTTCTGTTCTACTGTCACTTCCCAGACCAGCTGCTGACTCAGAGGAAGTCGGCCCTGAAGAAGCTTTACCGTACTCCCATCGACTGGCTGGAGGAACGAACCACAGGCATGGCTGATATGGTGCGTAACATCACACACAGCAATATGGTCAGATTACAGGACTGACTGTTTTATTTAATTTGTATAATAAAAATAGTAAGGAATGTTAACCAATCAGTGAACCAATGAAAGAAGTTCAAAAAACCCCAGCACACTTTTCAATCAGAGTCTGTGGGCCTACCAAAGGCTGATCCGGTGCACATCTGATTACAAATGATTAAAATAATAAAATTAATTTGTAGACTAATGGAATAAAGGGATTGACCATTTTATGTCAAAAGAGTTTTGCTAAATCACCGTGGAAAATTAATCTCTCATTTTGAATTTGATTCTCTCTCTCACACTTTGTCATGTAGATGTACAACCTTGAAAAGCATTCCTGCAGAGCACTAAGTGAATGATTTTATGGCTTTCGTGGGTTGTTTGGGGTGATTTTTGGAAGTCCAGAGACATTATACTCTCACTTGCCTTATTGTTTTTTTTTCAATAACTAACTCTGCCGACTTTCACAATCAGCTGTTCCTGAAGACGCTCTGTGCCTGTGTGTAATTAGCAATTATACTAAATACTTACTGTGTAGTCCAACTACAATGAGCCCATCTTTTCATGGGCCAGGAAACTGGACTTTGTAGATACAATTTAATCAGGTACAGAACAGATTACCTAGTGTGAGAGCACACCTAGCTTTTCAGCCTAAAGACGTTTGAGAGAAGTAAATTCTCTCTCCTCGCAACTGCTTTAGCTCTTTAGCTATTCACCGGTGCGAAAGGATTTGATCTCCACATGTAAGCTGGTGTCAGAGCTCAGGCCCCTGAGAGAAATATGATGACATTTTGATTGTACTTTAGACTTTTTGGTGATCAAAGGCCTTATGCTGCTGTTCATGTTATAGGGAATTAAAATACCTCTGATTTATGTGAGATCTTTGTGAACAAATCTCTTTACGCTTTCTTTTAGATTCTGGTAAACAGCCAGTTCACCGCAGGCATCTTCAGGGAGACTTTCTGCAGTCTGAGCGGAGTCCAGACAGATGTCCTCTATCCCTCCCTCAACACGCGTACCTTTGACGAGGCAACCACTGAAGCACAGAGCCTGGAAGGACTGCTCCCCGAGGGAACTACCTGTCTGTTTCTCTCTCTGAACCGATACGAAAGGAAGAAGAATTTAGGCCTGGCTCTGGCGGCTTTGGCAACCCTGAGGAGCAGCCTTCCTCCTGGCCAGAGACCAGGCATTCACCTGGTGGTGGCAGGAGGCTACGATGATCGCGTCACTGAGAATGTTCAGCACTACACTGAACTGAAAGAGCTAGCAGCGCAGCTCCACTTGGAGGACTGTGTTACTTTCCTCCGCTCCCCCTCAGATTCGCTGAAGGTGGCGCTGCTGCAGGGCAGCACCGCCGTCCTCTACACCCCTAGCAGAGAGCATTTTGGGATAGTTCCTGTGGAGGCCATGTACTGTTGCTGCCCCGTTATCGCTGTGAACTCTGGGGGGCCCCTGGAGAGCGTGGCAGACGGGGAGACGGGCTTCCTGTGCGAGCCCACGGCCGAGGCCTTCTCTAAGGCCATGGAGAGGCTCGTCAGAGAGCCACACCTCCGCAGGGACATGGGACAAGCTGGGAGGAGGAGGGTAGAAGATAAGTTTTCTCTTCAAGCCTTCTCAGACCAGCTGTATGGATACATTGTCAGGCTGAGCCAGTGATGTGAAAGCTGGAGGAGAGACAGGAGAAAACTTGTGAAGAAATGATCGTCTGCTGAACAGTGAAGCTGAGTATGGATGGCTCGGCACTACAGAGAGTAGGAGCGAGGATGTATGTGTATATGTGCAACGAGGTGAGGGAAGTATCATGAGGACTTGGAGGACTATTAATCAGCATTCCCCTGGAGAGGTTGCTGTGAGGGGGAAAAAAGGACGGAATTTCTATACCAATTAAGAAAAGACTAACGAGTTTTCCAATCCTATCTTTACAAAAATACCAACCTTGCAAGTGTGTTCTTGTGTGTGAAGTTGAGGATGTGAAGCAGCGTGGCAACCAAGAGCCTCCAAATGAGTCTACCCAAAGGATTGATTGTTAGAGTGAAATGTTTTGCACTGTGTCTGAGTGTGTGTGTCTGTCTGTTGTTTTCTTTTCTACAGCACTCTTTGTCTTTGTGTGTTTTGGGGATGAAGAACAAGAATGTCGTTATCACCGTGTGCCATCAGGCAGCGCACAGTTGCCGATCGATAAGCAGGATGCGTTCCACTACTTCCGCTCGGAGCTTTGTTCCCCGGCGTGTATTCAGAAGACGCCGGCCTGTCCATGACTCTTACTGCTGCATGGAGGTTATTAGTAGATGATAGAGAGTGTTTGGCTTTATTAGAGGTCTGGCTGATGGGCAGTGTGCCTGTGCCTGTGTCTGGGTCATTATCAACGAGGAGAATAGCGGGAGGTCATTGTGTCTGTGCGCTGCCCTCTACAGCCTTCCTACTGTATAGAAATGCTCTTATTGACATTCCTGAAGTCTTAATAAACAAGAGGACACATAGTTTGCTGAGTCTTATGGAGCTTGCTTTGTTGGTAAGTTTTTGGCCTTTAATAGAGTTCACTAAGGATTTTGTGGGTGAGCATGGAGGCACAGAAGCATTCTTAAAGCCATGGATAAATCTGATTGTGCCTCAAGTTATTAAATAAAGCATTCTCAGACAAAGTAGCAGCAGAGGAGTTTCATTTTGCTCATTAGGAAAAGAAATGATAATGCACCCGTTGCTGCATTATCATTTCGTT